CTACAAAACTGTTTTTTTTTTTTAATGTTCCTACAATTTTTTGTTCCTGATTTACTCGCGGATTAAGTAAAAAGGAACATTCTGACTTTATTGCTCGTAATTCCGTTAAAAATCATCGTATCACAATTAAAAATATTGATTCTTAAATTAAAGCTAAAACGTTGTTCTATCAAGTGATGTAATTGCCAAATTTTTAAAAATAGAATATATGGGTTGCTAAAAAAGTCTTTACTAACTTGTAAAGGGACTTTTTCCCTGATTCAATATTAACACCAGTTACTTTAGACAAAAATTGAGCGAGATCTCGGAAAAAATACATACAGGATGAATTTTTGCACACTTTTATTTTTGCATAAGATTGAAGGAGAAAAAAGTTTACCATCTTACAGTGGCCGCTAAGAAAAATAATTAAACAAATAGGGCTTAAATTTCGGTTTTTTGCAAATATGTATGTCGATAAATATAAATTTTACAAAGAAAATATAAGAGAGAAAAATTAAACAACGGCAAATTTTACACAAAGAAGGTTGTATAAATTTTTTCGTACGAGCAGTACTTTCCACGTAAGAAATTATGCAAGATGAGCGTTGCGGAGCGACAAGACTTTAAACGAAATGGAGTGTCGCACAGGAAACGTCATAACTTTTGAACAAATTATTATATAGAAATATGTGAACAGAGAAACGTTGAAAAGCTGAAACCTTCAATTTTAATGCAGTTAATTTCATTATCTACGGCAATTTTTGACGATTCGACTATGAATTAAAAACAATATGTTGCATGCAATTTTTGTTTTTTTTTTTTATGAAATCAGTCGTAAATCGGTATCGAATTGTTAAAGAAAAAATCGCCTGCAGGATATTACAGTACATACTTTATACTTTGATTCCACGAGAAGAAAAAATTTTAAAAAAATTCTTTTTAAAATCAAACTATTGACATTTATAACAATTTTCATCAATTCTTGATGAAACGTAGGACTTGAAATCGTCATAACTTTGCGAAAAATTACTCTGAAATAGTTTTTAAAAAAGCAATTGAAAGTTTGGAATGTTTAGATACTACCATATATCGCAATATTCCGTTATATTTCGAATTTTCATTTATTTAGGTACATAAATATGCGAGTTATTGCGAAAAATTTGTTTAAACCTGTGCTAATTTTGATCATCACAGATATAATTTTTTAAAAACATAAACAAATTAGTATAGTGAGAGAAATCAGATATTTAAAATTATCCATAAGTTGTATTATCATCTTAAAATTTCACTTACAGTAATCTTAAAATAAAAACGGACTATGAATATCGATTTATGAATACCAGTCGTAAAGCGCGTTCGAAAAACGAGCTGTCATCACTGTTACGTCATTTTATCTTTGTTTTAAAACAAACGATAAGCAAATGGAACGCTGATGGCCAGTGTATGACAAATCAGTTCAGCTTTCATCGTGTTTGCAGAATCAAGATGCAGTCTTCTTTTCGTACGCAAGAATTTAGAACTTAGATATGTATATATAATACATACATATTTTTTTGACTTTATTAATTTATTGCAAAAAATTGCCAAAGTTAGGTATCATTTTTAGGCCTCAAGGGTGGTGTTCCCCCTTAATTTTGCATAATATGTATATATATATATATATACAGAAATGTACATACAGTCAAATAAAATATTAAGTAACAAACAACACATTCAATTATACATATGTTCGTATGATAATACGCTCAAGTTTAAAAAGAATGAGGAAGTTAGTGTAAATAAATGCTAAAATGTACTTTAAAAACATTTTGAAATGATTGAAAATAAAAATATGTTATAATTGTATATTAGTTACATTAACGTCATGGTGTAACGATGAGCTACTAAACTATATATCTATATGCCGAGACACTACCGTGTTTCTGGATATAATTATATATAACTATAATTCCATGAGTAATCATTAGAATTCCTAATAGGCATTAAGAGGGATCTGTGAAGCTAGCATGACACCTGTTAATATTCTATTAGTATAAAAAAATAATGACAGTTCTAGTAGCACTTTTCATAGTTCTACAGTTTTACATAAAAATAAAAAAGTTCTGCATTTTTCACATAAAAAAATCAAATATGAAAATATGGCTAACTTCGCGAATCTAGCACGATAATTTTCCTCTACAGTACAAGAAAATGATAAATATTAGCACTTTTAGCAACATTTCCCGATGCTTCTACTAAAGATCTACTAATATACATTTTGAAAACAAAATTCCAATAATTTCCAATTTTTATATAATACATTTTATATATAGAAAACGTTCAGACATCTGAAGAAAATGTTGTGTGATTGTTTATGCTGTTTTTTAAAAAGTTAATAAAAAATATGTAGCGGCCGGAACTGTCTTTGAAAGTGATTGTAGAGCCTAGAACTCTACCAGAACTAACGAGAACTGTCGCTAAAACTGCCATAAACAATCAGCACGACACTTTTTCTGTAAGTACCGTGCTAGATCCAGATATTAAAAAATTAATAAAAAGTATGTAGTGGCCGGAACTCTGTTTAAAAATGATCGTAGGGCATAAAACTCTACTAGATCTAACGAGAACTTTCGATAAAACTGCATAAGCAATCAATACGATATTTTTTTTCAAGTGTCGGACCGTTTTCTATATATAAAATGTATAAAAATTGGAAATTGTTGGAACTTTGTTTTTAAAATGTGTATATTAGTAGATCTTTAGTATATCTTTAGTAGAATTTTCGGGA